GTCATACTGTAAATGTGTTGTGTAGTACTGGGGGTTTTGATTCATCTCAAGAACCTAAAAGATTAGTTCGCTGATTCGTACATTAGCTATAATATATTACACCAGACAGTGGCGACGGATGAGCGAGTGTTACGAGTGAGTCTTTAAGCTGATTCATTAGAAAGCAACAAGGCTCATGCCTCAAAGTTTTGCAGTTTGTCTACAAATGTAGTAAAAATGAAATCACAGATTAGTTTAGTCCAGAGTGTTCTTCTGTTCATTAAAACTGACCGATGACGTGCTGCTCCTCGCTGTGCGCTTGAATCACACTATAGTTAGTTAGTTAGTTAGTTAGTCAGGAGAAAACATGGAATCCAAGGTAAATGACATTTGCTCTGACAAGTAAACTTTGCATTTGCTTCAGAAATCGTGTTTTATTTTTTCTCTGAGTTGTGTTAGTCTGTTGGAAGAGCAGGGTCACTTGTAAACTCTTATCAGTGCTTGACTTACTCCAACCACGGAGTCAATCGATCAGTTGAGAGCCTTTAACTCGGTAAAAGTAACCATTAAAAAGTCTGAAGTCAGTGTTCTGAAGCTGATATTTAGTATGCATGATGTCACATACTCTAATGCTGTTTGGTTTCACATAAACATTTGACATGATTTGGTTTTACATAAGCAGTTTGATCCAGTGCCAGAACTGCGGTGGATTCACAGAGCTGTTGCAACATTTCGAGAGCGTCAAGACGAGCGTCGCTATCAGCGCTTCGAGGGACTCCTGATAGCAGCTGTTTTACTCCAGCTGATAAATCAAACCCAGTGACCTCTCGCTATCAAAATACAGGCCGAGTTTCATTCAGCAAATAATTGTGACATCCCGCTCCCACGCGCTCACCGCAGATGGCTGTATGAGTGGAAAGATGTGTTTACCGAGTCCTGTTTCCCAGCATGCACTGCCTGCGGGCCAGCCGTGTGTTTGAAGTGCTAGAATGGGCCAGGTTTGAACTTCTCAAGGTTACAGCGATAGAGAGGAGGGAGGAGCCGCGCACCGATAACGCTCCGCATGTGCTTTTAGAAAATAGGTGACTTAGATCTGGAGTTCTCAAACACGTTTTATAGCTGTACATTCAGCTTCATTCTCTTACTGGAAACACTACTGTACACACACTGTGCAAACACTAGCAATGGCATCATCCAATATTTCAAGAAAATGAATACTAAATCAGCCGAGCTCGCTGAGTGACCTTCTTCTTGAGTGTTTGCGGTTTGATGAGCGGCAGTCGTGTTCGGTGTGTAAATACAGCACTTCTGTACTCTGCCTGGACTAATATGTATATTTAGTAAGATTATTGATTTAACGGCACTATCAGATGAGAACAAACTTGATCTGAACACTATTGTCTTCTGTAGAGATGCTTATAGCTGAAATGGACTTGTTTCAACACTGAACTGATCTGAAAAATGACACTTTGTCTTGTTTAGAGCTGCTTTACAGCAGAATCTGACTGTTATTTTTGTGTTTATTCATGGGAAGCTGCTTTGAAACGATCTGTATTGTATAAAGCGCTACAGACGTAAAGTGACTTGACTAATTATTGTACTACTGTAAACAGCTGAACACAATTGAAACATAGAGACATGCATTTATTTCATGTTTGCTCAGGATCGGTTTCAGAAATGTTTTTTTTTTTACGGGGAAAAAAACGGCAGCTGTGGTTGCCGGAATTTTACCTTAAAAAGTACGGAAGCAACATTTTAGGTTTTACGGTTTTAACTTAAATTTACAGTTAAATACTGTAATTTCCGTTAAATTCAGGGTCATTTTTTACGGTGTTGTTTTGTCCAGGATTTACGGCTCTCTGGAGTAACTGTGGTTTCCTCATGATGGCTATAATGTAGGCCTATTTACATGGAACTGTTATTAGTCGAAGATCCGTATGAACTCTGCCCAAGGGCTGGAGGACTGAAGCTCATGCATGGAGTCCAGGGTTCAGCTCAATACACACATCGACTCAAACAGCTGCGGGCTGGACCAGGACTCTTGATCTCTACTGGAATGGTTTGCGTTCATTCATTTGTTGAGTGTCCTGCTGCACATAACAAAAGACATATTTTAGAGATTGTTTAATAAACGGCACGTTTGTGTCTCAATGCTCTCATGCTTTTTAAACTGGAAGTGCAATGCTCTGGTTTTTCCTCCTCTCTTACCATAAGTTTGAGAGAAAATCCATTGATTGCATTGATCTTTTGCTTGTTTTTCTCTCATTGATGCCCTCATGGCTAAGGGTTTGTTCGCTCATTGGCTGATGGGAATTCGGAAAGGAATGTGTATTTGTGCTGCTCGCGCAGAAACATACTTAAGCTTTGAACCATTTATATTTTCTTGCAAAAACACAATAAGGTAGCCTACTGTTGCTCATATCCTTCTTACCGCTAATACCCTCTTCGAGTCTGCTAATCTGGCTCCCAAACTGCGTACATTTCCCTCTGGGTCAGCATTTAAGATCACTTGTAATGTACTCGACACAGAGATGTACATTAATTATAAACCTGGTAATTATACGACTGTTTCTGAGATCAAAACATGATGACACTTTTTATTTTTTTGCGTTGGAAACTTAAACAAAACTTAAGTTTGATGCGACCTTAACATCAGAATAATGTTTTTTCAGCTCAGAAATATTATTGATCTTTTTCTCTGTCTGGAAAGCTGATCAATAGTTGTGTTTTTCTCCCACTGACGTGCAGCTCCTTGCTGAGGTCTGCTGTATGGAGTCTGAACTCTGGCCCTCGAGGTCCACTTCCCTGCAGAGTTGATCTCAAACACAGCTGAACAAGCTAATCGAGGTCTTCAGGACTGCTAGAAAGCTACTGGCAGGGCCTGCGGAGTTTGATCAAGGTTGGAGATAAACTCTGCAGGAAAGCGTGTCTGCTCTCAGTCAGTTAGTTCCATGGAGGATTTTAAGTATGCATGCATCTAATCTAAAGCCATTTGACTCTTTTAATTGTTCTTGGATTTAAAGTTAATTGTGCATATATGCATTTTTATTCGTTTCTTTTACGTGTTTTACTTTTATATCTTGTTTCTTTTGTTTTATACCTTTAAAGGCGCCGTATAAAGTCAATATTATTATTATTAGGCAGCAGTAGCCAGTGTAAGGAGTGTGAGGAGTGAGAGGAGTGTGAGGAGTGAGAGGAGTGTGAGGAGTGAGGAGTGTGAGGAGTGTGAGGAGTGAGGGGTGAGAGGAGAGTGAGGGGAGTGTGAGGAGTGTGAGGAGTGTGAGGAGTGTGAGGAGTGTGAGGAGTGTGAGGAGTGTGAGGAGTGTGAGGAGTGTGAGGAGTGTGAGGAGTGTGAGGAGTGAGGAGTGTAAGGAGTGAGGAGTGTGAGGAGTGAGGAGTGTAAGGAGTGAGGAGTGTGAGGAGTGAGGAGTGTAAGGATCTAAAGCCATTTGACTCTTTTAATTGTTTTTGGATTTAAAGTTAATTGTGCATATATGCATTTTTATTCGTTTCTTTTACGTGTTCTTGTTTCTTTTGTTTTATACCTTTAAAGGCGCCGTATAAAGTCAATATTATTATTATTAGGCAGCAGTAGCCAGTGTAAGGAGTGTGAGGAGTGTGAGGAGTGTGAGGTGTGAGGAGTGTGAGGAGTGAGGAGTGAGGAGTGAGGAGTGTGAGGAGTGTGAGGAGTGAGGCTCTTGTGAGGAGTGAGGAGTGTGAGGACTGTGAGGAGTGTGAGGAGTGAGAGGAGTGTGAGGAGTGTGAGGAGTGAGGAGTGTGAGGAGTGAGGAGTGTGTGAGGAGTGTGAGGAGTGAGGAGTG